TGCTCCTCGGAGCAGCTGACAGAGTTTCAGCTCTGTCCGAGCATCTCCGAGCTACCAGACTTGACACTGTGTTGGGAAATGAACACTGAACCAGCCATTGAGGGACCCAGGTTCCAGCCCAGCCGGCCACCTCCCAGCCCTGTGGCCTCGGATGTCTCTCTGGTCCTGGGTTCCTCTGAGTCTCTGGCAGCCTTGAAAAACCATTTCATTCCCTTTCAGCTAAAAACTCCTGTGACTCTGCGGGCCTGTGTTTAAGAACTGGCAGAGGCTCCATTTGCTCCCAGTTGGACCCAGCACAGGGGAATCACAAGGTTAATGATTCTGAAAATCATTGAGCCCTCCGTGGGCTGCACACTGTATTTGGTGAATGGCTTAGCTTTGGGCATTCGATGCACAGTATGTTTTTATTGCTCTTTGCTTGAAGCATTGAGAATTAATTTCAAGGGGAAAGCAGTGGAAATTCTTGCAAAGGAAATTCCGAGGAGATGAACCTATCACTTCTTGCTGACATAGGTTCTAATGGCTCTGCTCCAGTTTTGGAAAGACAGATGTTCTTATTACAAAACCAGATCTCCTAAGAATCCAGCCGAGTTCGCCGTGCCACGTCACTGGAGTTGCAGACACGAGCCTATTTTCTGTCCCCCACGGTCACGGCACTCACCTGGGTGAAGGTGGTCTTCCTTCATGCTTCTCCAAATGAAGCCTTTCTCAAATCTTAGCAATGACCGCCAACTAAAGCATTGTTTCACCCACATCAATATTTGCATTTATTTTCAAGAAAGGCTACTAGGTGAATGAAAGGCTATTGAAAGGCTGTTTAAAAATTGTTGGGCGGGGGAGGGAATTTCCTTCCCTTTTGTCTTTCTTCCCTTACTGAGACTTGATTCAAAGGAATCACGAGTCCAATATCACCCCCCAACCCCTAGTTGCTGAGCTCCCTCTGGCCATGCAGGCAGGGGCTTTCCATTTTTTGTCTCTTCTGCTGCTTCGAGTGTGATACCTGATATGAGTATTTCTGCCTTCCTGATACTCAAGTCCTAAAGGATTCACATGCTGGAAAATATAAATGTTTTGACTACAGTTCTCAGGAAATACAGAAAAGAGAGTCTTTTCTCTCACTTGCTGCTTATTGCTGACTTAGAGTATTTCTATGGATTTACCATCTGTACATGGATAAGGCAAGTTCTCAACTTCACAAAGATTTAGTGCAACCTCGAACTGCTTTGAGTAAGAAAATAGATGTAAAACACATCAAAGATTTAAATGCGTGTTTGTGGATATGTTAGTTTGCTGATATCCCTATGTATATATAATGATTTTTTTTTTTTAAAAAGACATTGGGCTTGCCAGTTTTTACAGCTCCTGAAAAAAGAATTCAAACGTTTAAGCTGGGCTGCAAGCGTTTGTGTTGGAATCAACAAAGAGATGCGTCTGGCAGCCGCCAGATGCTACTCCGCTGGGAGTTTGAAGTGGGGTGCCCCGCCTGAATTAGCCCCCTAGAATTCCAAGGGGGTGTCTGCTATTAACCACAGCTGATAATGTCTCTGTCACACAATTGACTGTGGCTCTTGCAGATAGAAATATGTTTCAGTTTGCCTAGAAATGCTGCTTGTGAGGAAGGGGAGGAGAGAGAAAGTAATGTTTGGGTATGTTTCAGGTGGAAGCCAAGCTAATTGACAAATTGGACAGCCTGATGTCAGAAGGTAAAGGTGATGAAACCTACCGTGAACTCTTCAACAGTATGTGAGTAATATGTTTATCTCAGGCGATTCTCTCCAGGGGATGTGGTGTCCGTGCTAAGTAGCTGAGAGCTGCAAAGACAGCTTGGGTCTCACCGGAGTGCTTTGTCTTTGTGGAGTGTGAAATAAAAGATAATTGCCTAACTCTGGCGAATGGATCTTCTATTGATGATTAGACATGTCTTCTTATTTTAAGCTGATTAGGACAGGTCACGTGTTCCGTAAAAGATCTCACTCTTTTCATGGCTAATAACTTTAAAACCGGTGACTGCAAGATAATGATTTTAAATAGGGTTCAGGGTGGAGGGGGAATGTTATCATTGTTGTATTGGCGTGCAGAGCTTTCCAAAGCAAGATATCCTTGGCTGATTTGCTGTTGGGAAAATTAACCTCGTTTGCATCTGTTCTTTAACACTTGATTTACTTCTACAATACTGATTGTACTCAGCGTTATTAATTGCTTCCTAAATGTTTATTAGAATGTGACAGAAGCAAATCATCCTTAGTGAATTCTGTGATTGGGATTTGGATGGAGGATAGAGAAGGAATGGAGTATTGTAACGGGACTTTGAGATTGTTCTTATGGATAGAATATGGTCAGAGTCCCAGGATGAATTGCTGTACCATGCATTCACCCACTGTGCAGGTGTTAGGACTTGCCAGCCTTCATCTCTGTGGGAGTCTCCTCCCCCCTTTTCTCTCTCTTCCCCTCACTTCAGGACATCTGGGAAAAGCGTTGAGTGGGTTCAGGCTTTTACAAGTGACAGTAAGAGTGATTGAGTTCAGGTTGCTTTTGCTTCTGCTCTGACAAAAATAACTGAGGAAAGGAATTACAAATGCTAGCTGCTGGTTACCTGCTTAAAATATGTATTTGGGGAGGATGGGGGAAATACAGGGAGAGAAACTATGAATTGATGTTTCTGTATATTCTGCCACAGTGAGTTTGTTGGTCTTCAAAGTATTCATTCTTTTGGAGGAAAAAAAAACAAAGGTTGTATTCATAAGGACGTTTCTTTTGATGAATAAGAAGGCGGTGTCCTTGTGATGAAGAAAGATAAAATATTACCTGAGTGAAAAATAAAGGTAGGAAGCAAAAGGAATTGCAGGCCAGTTTGTTCCTCACACGTAATGGGCATGGGTCAGTGAGTAAAGCAGAGATAGGAGAAACCGTTAAGTTACTTTTGATGAAACCTCAGAGAGAGGGGAAAGAATCGTATGACCTCCGTGATACAAAGTAAAAGGACTTTCAGGTAGGCAGGACCCTGCTAATGTCCCCATAGCGTTGAGGAAAAGAGATGTGGCCACATTCCAAAGATGGTGGAAACATCCCAGGGCACTTGCGGTGCCTTCCCAGGCACCCATTGGGATTCGCCCGTCTCTGATCCGTCATGTTCTCTCTTTCCGAATCTTTTCTTTCATATGCTCTTTCCTCTAAAAACCCCACTAACGTCAATATAAAGTTAAACTCTATGTTTGCACCCTCGATTTATTATATATGTCCAAGCCTGTGGCCTCCTCAGTGGCTTCTAGTACAAAAACCAAAATAAAACCAATTTATGGGAAGGTAGGTAAATCCAAAATTAGCAAGTAACCCTGAATAATATAATTTTATGTGTATTTGAACACTATGACAAAAAGATCAAAGGTAGAAAAGAAAAATAAGGGGAAATTATCGTCTTCCATGAAGCCAGTTCCCTTCTGCTCACCTCCCCAGTTTGCTCCACGGGTTTTAAACAGATGTTTCAGTGTCACGTGCTTTCAGCCATGATGCTGAAGGTAAGCTCTTGAGACACTGTGCATTTTCCAGAGCACACGGTTTTCTTGGTATAAAAATAGAAGCTCTCTGAGATTTAACATAGGCTATTAGGGCAATGGCCTGAACTCAGCCCTCATCTGCTAGCTGAGATTACCTGTGTTCTCTCCACCCTCCACCTTCCTTTCCTGTGAATTAGTAACACAGGACCTTTGAGCACTTGCCAATACACCATTTTGAGTTTACCATCATTACATCGTAGTCCTTGCAGAATATTGTTATATTCTTACCTCTTTTGGACTACCATTTAGATTTTGGTTTTGGTTGTATGTTTATTGTGTAAAATAAAACATAAGAAAAATTATACAATACACAGAGGAACCCCCTTTTTTGTATATAAAAGTCACTGTAATCTCACCACCTAGAGATAACCATTGTGGTTAATGTAGTGGACTCTCTTCTAGACTATCATATATATATATTTTAAATGAGGAGGTACGTACAGTTTTGTACCTTGATTTTTCACTTAATTATGTTGAAGAACTTCGTCTTCTTCAGCCTCATTTTTAATGGCTGCATAAAACTTATAATGCGTGAATATACAAGTATAATAGTATATATAACCAATTCCTGATGATTTATATAATTTTTAATTCTATCTTATGGCTTTTTTAAAGTGAAAAAAGGAAATCCCTAGTTGATTTAATAAAAAATGATGGAGAAATATTCATCAACACACTGAAATTGACTGTTTACATATCTGCTTAGGGAAATATCTTCTTGCTTGGGGCAACAGCTATAATTGAATATACACTCATGGCAATAGTTTTAACCAAGTTTTACAATATCTTCTGACATCTTAGTAAGACTAACTATCCTGAAATGCAAACATTTTGTTCACTTTAGGAGAGCACAAGCTTCATTTCATTCCTGCCCTGATCGGCCCCTTCCTAGAAGTGACCTTGATACCCCAGCCAGATCTCCGGAATGTCATGATTCCAATTTTCC